CCCCCCCCAACAGTTTCTGGGAAATGGCATGGAGGGCCATAGAATACACAGTTTTGGGCTATACCCATCCAGTGATGAATCGATCCCAGCTGTTCTAACTAGGACAATGTTCAAGAATTAATTGCTTAATTAGTTACGGTACATGTTGTTGCCTTATTCCTAGGTTATGGAAGTGTGTAAGAGCTGAGATGATTTATCAAATACACTGTCTGACTGTTGTAAGCTATTAATACAAAAAACCCCTGTATAAATTCATGGTAAGACATTACGGAAGAGGAAAGTGCTTTTATTTTAAAAGTTATTTCACTTCTACACATTCTTTCATACTTCAAGCACCAAAGATGTATGTATCAGAGGAGACTCACCAGAATCGTGTCACAAAACAGCTGCTGAGACTTCTCTGCATGGCTTCGGCTCCTCTTAGTTGACCTTGGGCTCCTCCACTTGGTTGATTATGACAGGAGCTTTAGTTACTTTTTTGGACAGATCCTGTAGAAACCAGCAGTAATTCTAGAAAAAGCAATGGATTGCCTTGGAATGTTGCTCCCTCCAGCACCCTTATACCTCCAGTAAAATTGCTGCCTATCATCTTTGTTCTCTTATTTTGTCAGGTTTGTCATCATTCTTGCTTTCTGAAATCACTTCCTAACTGAGTGATATCCTTTTCAAAGCCCAAGTCAGTACTGTGGATTCAGTGTATGTAGTGTAATCAGGATCAAGGAATGTAGCTTTGCCTGGACCGGAGAATACAGACCTAAGAAGATATGAGAAGTGATAATGGATCAAATTAGGACACTAAGAGAGCAATTGTAGCCTCATAAGAAGTAATTAGGCATGTAATTAGGGACTTATTTGTATTTTATATTGCAAAACCAAAACGAAGCTGACTTATCCAACTAGTTGTTCAAGCAGTCTTACAACAGTGTTTCTAAGGATGGTGAGGACTGCTGTCCTTGATTCATCAGGCCAACACAGCCACAGCCATGTTGTGATAGACTGTGCTGGGTAGTATTGTTTATCAAACAGGATGTAGTGCTTAACCGCTAAGCTAAAGCAAAGGCTTATGTGTTAAACCACAAAGAACTATGCAAATGCTCATGTAAGATATAGAATTGCCAAATGTTCCGAGCACTGCAAGAACAATCCATATAGGGAAGACGACTACTGCTAGGACAGGAAGTCACGGAATGGACACCCGAGGAAGACGTCTTACTTCAGCCTCGACGACCACCAAGAGGCAGAAACGACCCCCTAGCAACAGCCCAGGCATGCGCAGAGTACTACTGCCACATCACGGAAAGCGGAACTGGAAGAATATAAAAAGGGACTGGCTCAGCATGTTAGCGTGGCAGTTGGTGGAGCGGTGACTCCCCTGTCGCCCAGCGCTGCATTTGCTCATATTCTGCTTGCTGTAACCGAATAATTAATAAATTCTAATTAGTGTTTTGATCCATTGTGGTCCAAATTTATGACAATGTGAGTTGCATTAACATGAACTGTGATGAACTGTGGAAGCATCATAAATATTATTTATGTGGAAGCTTCCGTGGAAGCATCATAAATATTATTTTCAAAATGAAATTGTGCAGTGACACCACTCTCCTTGACCTCAAAGAACATAACTGAACATGTGACAGTGGCTGCATCAATCCGAAGAACTCAGGGTGGTTTTCTATGGGGTAGTCCAAGAAAACCAGAACTTCCACGGGAAATTAGAAATTGCTAAAATACTTGCTATGGGCTAAAAGACACTATGTAAGAAAAGTACTGTAATATATAGATAATTAACAGTCACAAGATTTGTCATTTTCATAGAGGAAATGTTTTGGAAACATACTCTCCCAGCTTCAACACAAGCATGTGTGTTCAAGTCATGAAAAATGATGTCCTCATCTTGTGCTTGGAGAACCAAGCCATAATGCTATGTCACTAAGTAAATAAAAAGCTTTCAAACAAGACAGAGTGCAAACTATAAAACTGTCTTACTGATATTTAAATTCATATGTCAACTTTTTTTTTTAATATATATAACTCTTTGACTTCCTGGCTTCTTAAGCAGCAAAGAGAGCTCTGAATTGCAAATGAAGTAAGATTTATGATTACTCACTTCACTATAGGTCCATCTGGTGTCAGAACCTGAGGAAAATCAAATACATTTAAGTAAACTCGATATATCAGTGTGACAGTTAACACTGCCATAAGTAGACAGAAATAATCATAATGCAAAAGCATTGTGCATATATGTACATAATCTCTAAAAAAATTCAACAAACCTTGTCAAGAATGTGTGTACAACCTTTTCACTGACCCTAAAACACAAATGTTTGTTACACATAAGTAGCATGGGCAAAGATTGTCAATATGCCACATCTGGAAAACAATCTGTGTTATTAAAAAAGTGTATCTTGATGGATGTCCAAGAAAGAAAGACACTCCCTGTGGGAAAATCAGCCAACCAGTGTGTAGGAGTCACATAACTTTTGGACAAGAATAATTGTATAATAACTGTTGGAACAGCACAATCTTTATGTTCCAAAATGAACTACTGATGTGGGTGCCATTGTTTCAGAACTAGGTATGCAGAATCACTCTGACATTCTTTAATGCTTTGTTTGCAAGTGTTATCTTGCTATCATTAAAGAAAACAAACCACAAATGTTTGTGTAGGATCTAGTATCCAGCTCTTGAGGCTAGTCCAGAGCAGTGGGTCACCACTGGGCAACTACCCCCAGTTTTATTGTTCAACGTGACACTATGGACTATCCCTTGAGTCAGTTGGGATCAGCTGTCCTGGTTGTGTCCCCTCCCAACTTCTTGTGCACCCCCCAGTCCACTAACTGGTAGGGTGATTTGAGAAGCAGAAAAGGCCTTGAGTCAATGTAAGCCCTGCTTAGCAGCAACAAAAATATCAATGTGTTACCAACATTATTCTCATCCTAAACCCAAAATCCAGCGCTGTACTAGTTATTAAGAAGAAAATTAACTCTATCCCAGCCAAACCCAGGACATACCCTCTGCCTGTACTCAGTGTCAGACAGCCCCCAAGGATGTCTAGTTTTGTACCCAGGTGTCAGCACAGGCTGCCACAGTTGGATCAGATCATGATAATATTGCAGTATACCTTTCCAACCATTTCAACTCTTGAAAATTACTATTCCAACATGCATTCTGGTACCTTGTTCCTTACTAACTTAATTGTCAGTCATGTTAATACTGAGCAATAACAAAATTTAACACTATCGCTAATAAAATCTAATAGTCACAAAAACATTCCTTCTTAAGCACAGCCAGAAGAGGCAGCAAATAGCACAGCAGTTTCTGGGGTCTTGCTTCTAGATCTGCTGGGGCCTTCTTCTGGGATCACTGTCAAAGGACCTCTGGGAACCCTTTTGGGAAGCCTTTGAGGAGCCTGAGGTTGCCTGCTGCTGTTGGGAATAGAGAGCTGCAGGAGGCCTTGACCTGCAGCAAGGTCTAGCAGGGCTGAGGGCCCCCCAGCTGTCTTTGATTAAAGGGCCCTTGGAGGTTTAATTCCAGCTGACACTGATTGGGGAGGGTCTGACACCCTTTCAGGCTGAAGGCTATATAAGAGCTGGGCTTAAAGCACAAAGGTTTGGGGGTGCATTTGGTGTGGGAAGGGCTAGTGCCTAATCTTGTAACAGCACATGCTTCCTCAGCAGTGGTCAGGGTGTGCTATAAGCTGCCATCCTCAGCAGCTCTTGGAAAAACTTCCCCTGCGACGGTGGAGGTCTCAACCCAAGACAGACCTTCAGAAGAAGGGTGCTGGTCTCCCTTCCTTTAGCCTGAAGGGAGAAGCACGCCTTTTGAGATGTTTTATTAAGCAAAGGAGCTACAGGATGAGGTTAGTGTGCTATAGATCATCAGAGATTGTGAAAGAGACTTGGATCTTCTCTGAGATCCTCTGGCTTTGAGAAACCATGGAGGTATGTACTGAGGGAGGGGCAGGCTGAGTCTATCTATCAGGGTGGGAAGTAAAAACTCTCAAGATGTTGAAAGCCTGTGATTCCTGCTGGTAGGAGAAATGATTATGCACTACCTGATGATTTGTAATTACAAAATATTTTCAGCCTTGTGGTTGTAGAAAAGAGTGTCAAGTGAACCATTTGAGCTGGCTGAGCCTGAGCCTTGCAGAAGTGTAGCCACATAGAATAACAAATGTAGCTTAAAACTACGTAGCTTGACCTGTATAGCTTGTCATTAATTCTGTACTCTCAGCAGAAAGGAATTTTTTAAGTGACAGAAGGTCTCCCTATTTTGAAGCAGAACTGATAAAAGGAACACAGCTATCAGGCTAAGTCAAAACTGACCTTGTGCTCTGACACAGTCCAAAGGGCATGAAGATGTCCTTTTCTTGAACTCTTTTGAACTTTAGCACAACTAGAAAAAGATGAGGCACAACCACCCAAAGGGACCATGAACAACCTAAAGATCATGAACAACCACCCAAAGGGACCACTGACTCAAAATGGGATTTGTGTCAAGGGGAGGGACAGGATTAGGTAATGTTTGAATTGTTAATTTGGTAACTGAATAAAGGCAGGAGGCTTTTGTAACTCAGGTATGCACAATTTAGAGACAACATTCTCTTGTGCATCCAGCATGCTGAAATAAAAGAATGTTTTGCTCCCTAAAACTCAAAAAAGGGTTTTAGAGAGTTTCTTTACACCCAGTTTTCAGGCAATAGGAGCACCAGAAGGAGGCATTAAGGGTTTCTTCCTTGGTACTGACAGCTCTGCTGTAGGGAACAGGCCTGTCTGCTGACCTGTTGTCCAGGGGACTTTGCTGCTTTTGAGGGTCTGTGATTTATGACAGCATGAAAAGCCTGCAGAGGCATCTCTGGCTATCTGATTACTGATCCCTGCTGCTTTTTCATGTAATCATCAAATGGTATCCAATTACTGGAGAGACCAGGATAGCATCAAGTATGATACAGCTCTGGAGTGATGGCACTCCAGAGTACATAAGGGCCCGTCTGGTGTGTCTTCAGACCTGCTGGTCAACTGTGGAGGTCAATAAAGCTAAGAAGATCCCATCTTGGGGGCAAGAAACTGGAATGGTTTATTGGACTTACAAGTTCATATTTAAAGGGTTTAGGGTCTACATATTCAACAGGGGGTTGTAACTATTACAATTATTACAATTATTACAATTAGGGGGTTTCAGGGAAGGGGAAAACCTAAATTAACAAATTTGGGGTCTTACCACATACATCATAGGGGAAAACCCATTTTATTTTAGGGGAATTACATGGGGGGAAGACATTCACACCTCTTGAGACAGGATTATGCAGGGAGGAGCAGATACAATAGGACATGTGATACATTATGTAAAAAGTCTCTTCACATCCTGCTGGAGAAGGCAGGAAAATTCCACAGAGATGAGGTCAATGAAAAGGTTTTTTTCCCAGCTTCTGTAGCCCATGGCTTCTGTTTAAACCCAGCAATTTTCTTTTCTGATATCCATATTTTGGAATTCAACAGTTAACTTGTGGGGTTTTATTTTCTATGAACGTGGTGTGCTCTTTGATGAGTAGATGTCACTTGGAAGAACCGGGATACACTGGACTAAGATGGGAGAGCATCTTTGCCAACAGGATGGTCAGTCTGGTAGGAAGAACTTTAAACTGAGAATGATGGGGAAAGAAAGGATGACAATCAAATGAAGAAATTGTGGATGAGGTTATCAAGCAAAAGATGAGGGCTTATGCAAGCAGAGGGGACTTTATCATCAACTTGGGTGTCACTGCATATAAGTGCAGCATATAAGCACAAGATTCAGAAAGGACTTCCTTGCTTTCTAAAGTCCTCAAGGAGGAGTCTAGGTGTGCCTGGATCTACACCAACCCCAGATGTGATAAGTGTAATTGATTCTATACATAACTTTGTCCTGCAGGATTAAACATGGCAAATGAAATGTGTTAGTATGAATACAGTATGTGTTTTAATTGTAGTGATGAGAATCAAGCCAGTGATTATTAAAAAGTAAAATATCATAAGCACAATTGTCTACTACACAATATAGATAGTTATAACTAATTACAGTGCACTATTTATTAAAACAGTAGTTTTAAAGCTGTCTTAATAATTATCAAGTAGATTGATGTTACTTACCCATACTGATGACTGTGGGCAAATAATTTTTGCTCATACTCAAAGAGTTACCTTGAAGGATGTCCCTACTCAAGGGAGGAATCTCCACACATACTCCTAGAAGTCCTCTCTGCTGGAAAATGGGACCATGCCTTTATAGTACAAAGTCATTTGTTGTCAGTCATGTGTTGCTAGGC